CCGCTCCCGTCCGTGTGCCGCCCTAACGCCCGGTGCGGGCGGTTTGCGCTGTAGGCGGTGTGAGGGCGGCAGCGGAACACCGGGTGTCTGGAGCGAGCCGTTCGGTGACCTGCGCTTCCCTTTGCAGGCAGTGGATAACTTGCTGCGGTGTGGGATATGCTTCGATTACTTCAGCATTGCCATGATCATCCCGCAGTGTTCGCACAACTGTAAGTACGGGTGTAAGTCACTCCTCGCACTGAAAGGGCTGTGAGTTTCTTTCCTTGCAGGACTCGCTCCACGCTACTGCCTCCTGTACTAACTTCAAGAGTGCTAACTTCATAGAGGTTGTCACAAAACTCTTACTTCTTTTCCATTGTGAAGCTGTGCCTCCTGTCCGTGATTAATGTGTTTTATGGAAGGACAGTCAATATATCACTATTGACTTGATGGTTGCAGTTGAAATTTACTTTTTAATAAAAACGTTCACAGAAACAGCAGTTTTAATAAAAATTGCTCGAGTAGGAGCCAAGGTAAATGGGGCATATGTGGCAAGTCAGTACAGGGGTGGTGAGGTTGTTCTTCCCTCTGTCCTGACTTTGGAGTTTTAAATTAACGTATTTCATGAAAATGCACCTTTGCCTTATGTTCCAGGGAGTGTGTCTTGGCCCTGTGACTCCAGGTAAGCCTGACTTGTCATTCACTTCACAGATTAAGGCAGACAGGTAAGGCTGAAGAAGGTGTACTCAAATTTTGAGGAAATGGCTTCGTCTTCATACATCTTTAGCAGGAAACTCAAGACTGGAGAATGACCTCGTGGACCCTGTGGGCCAGCAAAATCCTCTTGCATCTTAGCCAAGTGACAGAAAACTATCGAAAAATGCTCTCAAAAAAGAGTTTTCTGCTTTAGGATTTAGAGACAAGTCATCGTTTGACCATTTATTGTTTACTGGTGTATAGAGCAGAGATTACCCATCCTTTATGTCCTTTATAAAACATGTAGCTCTTCTTGTGGCTTAGCCAGCGTTGACATTTGCCTCTGAGTGAAAGCTATAAAGCAGCCAGCAACCTTTCCTTGTGCAGTTACAGTTGCAGTCTTCTGACAGCACAAACACTTGTCACCCGGATTAACGCTCTTAAAACGCCATTTATTCCTACAATTCTTCATTTAAATATCTTTCATAACATCTTGAGGGTGGAACAAAATGCAAAGCTGTATGGCAGACAGCATTAAGCGTTACGAGCAAAAATTTTCCATGCTGCTCTGTCTGCCTCAGGCTGATAACTGCTGGAATGTGGTAGTGAAGCAGTTTTCTGCAAGTCAGATTAGGGGGAAGTACATTGCCTTTTCTCACGTTAAAATAAATGTTATAATTGTTTTGTTCAGAAACTGTAGCACTTCCTTTTCCTCACATGAAGGGCATTGTAGTTTGGCAATGAAATTTAGTTTAGCTTGGCAAAACTAGCACGTTGAGAACAGCATATCTATGGTGAGGAGCACTGATAATTAATTCGTCATGGCAGCTGGTGTTAGAACCTGCCTGTGACACAGCTGGGTTCAGAGGGACTTAAGTTTGAAAAGACACATTTAATTCCACCCTGCAAATTGCAGAAAGCCCAAGTTTTCGATGATAAATCAAGATTTCTTGAAGTATTTTCTACTCTATTGTCTGTGTAATCTCTTCAATCCAGTGGGATTGTACAGTTGGAGCAAAAAAGGCCTCTGTCATTAATGAGTAATTATTTGTCAATAGATGAAATACATTTGCTTGTAAAATGTTTGTGTGTTTCTCTTAATGATTCATTACAGGGCTTCTAGGCACATCTACCATCTGTACCTATAGCCACAGAGGAATTCCTCCTCTGCTCATTCACGGGTGGCAAGGAACGTTCAGTAGCTCTCTTCTTGGTGGTTGTTTAACTTTCACAGTGCTTTGGATTGTATCTTTAGTGAGAGAATAGGCGTGCCATTCATACCTCTTTCATACAGTAGAAGCGCCTGAAGATGAATGTCTTGTCTAAAATGGATGTCTCACAAGGGCAGAGTGAATTGCAGCCCTGAGATTTCTTGTACTTGGAGTCTGGGAGGACAAGCTCGGTCTGCTCACGCTGAGCTGGTGCAGGAGGTTATTCCTGCCTGGCTGCTTCTTGTGGGCACGAGTGATGCCATGGGGATGTGGCATTGTGCCGCTCTCCTGCGGAGCCCCAGCAGCTGGAACCAGCCAGGGGCTGGTGGCAGGCGGTGGTTGAGCTCTTCATTCTGTTGTCTCTGCCATCAGGGCACTGCCCTCCAGCAAGGGATGGAGCTGGGGCTGGGAGCAGCCGCCAGCCCCAGTGAATGTGTTGAAGTTGGGACCTTTATGCCCAGCACAGCTCTTGGCGAGTGCCCTAACCTGGGGCCACTGTAGCTTGGAAGGCTGGCAGGGGAACCTGGATATGTCTGAGTTGCTCATATAGAAGTGGCTATAGCTGCTGGAGTGAGCTCTTTTTGTCACCCATGATTTTCCTTTCTTTAAATCTATTGAAATTACTACTGTGCTTCCAGCTAAGCAGGTTTCAGAATTGCTTGCTTACTTAAAAGAAAACACCTATGTTACTCAATGTGTGGTTTGTAAATTGTGGCAGTACTGACTTGTTTTATTCCTCTTTTTTCCCACAACCTTGTTACTTCCAGTTTAAATTCCATAGAGATTGTTATTTGCTGGCAGCGACTTGTATACTTTCATTCTGTCATTGAGCATTCAGTGATGCTCAGCTTAAATTGATACTTTGGGATTCTCTTCTGTATACTGAAATAACTGTGCTGTGGCTAAGTCTTGTAACTAGTTTGGTAGGTGCAGTTTTAGAGGTGGGTTTGGTCTGCTGGAGCAGATGGAAGTGAACTTTGTGGCACCATTTGATTTTTGGTGTATGTGCAGTGGACAGAGACCTGTTTTGTTACCCCAGGAATAGCAGGCTGAGTCCTGCACCATGGGGGACCTATTCCTCCTATACGAAGAGGAAGAGAAAAGGGACAGGGGACAGCGAATTGTGTGGCTTTTGTCTTTTCTGCATGGGCCCAGAGCCAGCCCAGAGCCCAGGCACAGTGTTAAGGCTAAGAGCTTACGTGATTTATTATCCTCAAACATGCTTCAGCTACCCTTGGCTATGAGCAGCGATGGTTGCAAACAGAGGTCAGTCCCACTGCTTACTGAAGGTGACTGGGTGTTGGAGGCTGGCAGGCAAATCTGTAATTTGATTCATCTTCATACAGTTAAAGCTTGCTCACATCTTACTATATAATGTAATTTTTGAGTATTTAGATGGATTTGTGGTTTTAAGTGTTGAATTGGTGCATTTATGCTCCTGCTGCTTCTCTGACTCCTTTGTAGAGGGTCTTTGAACTGTATATGCTTAGGTAGCTGTTGCTAAGTATGTTAAGTGCTGAGACTCTGTCCAGTAATGATATAGTAAATGAATGTCTGTTTTGCTGGAGCATGATGAGACTTCTTATATCTTGCAGTGGTATGAAAGCTCATGGATAAGTAGAGAAAGTAGACTAATTTCAGGAATTTGCTGTGACAAAATGAAGCTTATGGCATAATTCACCCAAGAGTCTATTAAAGCATCCTGTGATAATGATCCAAATTGCTGTTCCTGGGAAACATTTAAGTGTTAAAGAAACAAAAATAAACGTCTACTTTTGACATAGGGACTGAGACTGCATGTTGAAAGATGCTAGCATGAAATACAGATTGGTGGATTTTTTTGCTACAATCTGATGGGAAAATGGTGTATTTTCGATTTTGGTGTGTTGTGGAATAGTTTGCATATATTGTACAAAACAGAAAATACACCAGTAAGGATGTTGAACTGCATTTGGAAGAATGCCTCTTTATAAATTAAGTATTTTCTTTTTCCAGATTGTTCCCTTTGTATACGCAAGTTTTTGTCCTACAAAACTCAGTGTCCAACATGCTGTGTGGTGAGTGTTTGTTTTTCTTTTCCTCGCTTGTTTTTTGTTGTTTTTTTTTGGTGAATTTCAGGAGCTTTTCCCTTTGGACTATGCTAAATAATTAATTCTGGTTGTATATTACCACCTTTCCTTTTGGTGAGCAGCCCTTTGGGCAAAGTGTGGTGCTCTTGAAACTGGAATTCTCCTGGTTCAGAGTTACTCGGATGTCAGTGTAGGCAGAATTAGATGGAGCATCAAACCTGGGTTTTGTCTCGGAGCTGTGTGTACAATCTGTCACAAAACAGTTAACATTGCCTCCTGATTTGTTAAAATACATCACTGTTTAAAACATGAGTGCTGAAATTTAAGCCGTTGAGTGGCCTCACTTCATCTTTCCAGGAGTTCTTGGAAATTCCCCCAGAACACCTAGTCCTAAAACTCGTGGACTGTACCGCGTAGCCTTTCTGGGGTTGAGAGGACTGTGTTAGACACCAGGGAGAGGAGGTGTTTGCCAGGAGAGTTAGATTAACTGTGGAAAGCACTAGAGGCGGGTTCAGCCTCCTCTGCAGGTGGGTGATTATTGCAATCAGACTTGGAGGCCTGGTTTTGATTAAAGAACAGAGAATGCAGTTTATCCTAGGCCTTAATCTAACTTTTCATCTTAAGCCAGTTGAGCTTTATTGAAGTCCGAAAAATGGTAAGCTACCTAAACCCAATGAATAGCACTTCAGGAATATTGGCAAAATACAAGTAGTTTTCTTATGTGTTTCTAAAGAATGAACCAGGCTAGACTTTTGAAGACTGGAAAGCAGATCTGTTTGTAGCTTTGCCAGTTTGTAAACATTCAAACAAGTGCAGAGGACACTTTACTACCGTCTTCTTAAAAATCACAGGTATTGATATGAGCAAGACTAATAAAAGCTTTGTAAAAAAAGAGCAGCAGAGAGATAAAAATCAGAAGTTGTTTAAAAAGAATTAATTGAAGGCCCAAAGCCATCTCGTAATTTGTATTTTCATTCAGTGATCAGAAGATTAACATTTCCCATCATCACTTTTCAAGCCTCATTGATTAAGGTGCTTATCACATTCATGGGATCCTTGGTTTGGTTTTCAACACAATTAGACTGGGCCATGATAAAGAATTGTTGGACACTGGGTGCACTGGATTTTGTTGTTTTAGCTTTATACTTCATTTTTATCTTATTACCTGTGATTTCCCAGACTTGCAGTTCTCAGGCAGTTATTTCAGGTTTTTTTCAGGAAAAAATGTTTATTCTTTATGCATCTTCATTCACACAGCGATTTAGTAGGGATAGTTGAGTCATTGATCTTAGAAGCAGACTCCTGATCACTTCAACATTTTCTGGGTACTTGTTTTCACTGCATCGAAATGCTTGTAATTTTTTACCCCCTTTTCTTTCTTTTTTTAATAGGCAGTCTCAGAATCTGACCTGAAAAATAACCGGATGTTAGATGAACTAGTAAAGAGCTTTAATTCTGCAAGGTAATCTGTAATTTTATGTATTCTCTCTCTGGTTTGGCAACTGGAAAGGTAGATGTGACTTGATTTGTATGAACAGGCTTGGAGTCCTTGTACAGGAGAAGTGGGAGAATTGAGTGAAAAAATTGTGGTGTCACAGAACTGATGTTCAAGACCAATATTTATGCTTTCGGAAAAATCCTGCAGTTTTCTGACTGCAGGTTACTGTCCACTGTCCACTCAGGTGATGTGTGGAGGTTGTGTAAGCTCATTTTGGTTTTGCATCTGGCTAGCTGCTATGTAAGTTGCAGTCCCACATGTAGGAAGTCAAGCAGATGTGTCAGGATTCTACAGGGAAAATAATGGTAATAAAGATTTTCTTCTAAGGTCCTTCTTATATGTGTAGGGGAATTCTGTACAGAAAGGTTTTGTCCAGTGATAATGGTCAACTTGCAAGAGAAGTCTCTTGGTGAATTCCCATCGATGAATGGGAAAAATGTAGGTATTGAGGGACCACAAATGTCAGCTTTCATGGATAAGTAATAGTGTGCTTTCACCTGAATTTCTCACCTACCTTTCTGTTAGTTTTTAATTAATTTTTGATCTCCTCATTCCTTTCAAAGAGAGTAAGGATGACTTGGGAAACACCACAGTAAATATATGGGATTTCTTCTATTATATTTGTTTTCTTTTGATTACAAGCAGCTCAGTGATTTGCTGGACATTTTGTAAGTATTCCTATGTCTGCAGGAGAGAAATACACTGTCAGCTTTTTTGCTGAAATGAACTTGCAGCTTGAAGTCAGTACGATTCTTGGCATCATATATGATAGGAAGTGTAGTTCAGTTTATGGCTTTGTTTCTTGAGAGAGGTTCTCTGTCATGAAGATCTAATCTTCTGTATGACCACTATTAGATTGAATTGATTTTATTTGACAAATTTAAATTCTATAGTTCCATTATTTTAGCTTGAGCTCTGTCTTTGGTGTTTCCTAGTGATAAATGGATTACTATTTTTTTTGGTAATATCTAATCTGGTAGGGAACAAGTAGTGCTGACTTGGATCCATTATGATATTGAATCTTAAATGACTGCTTTAATGGATCAGTATAAATCTTACCAGTCAGCGTAGCTTAATAATCCTTCCTTTTATGACTTGGAGTTCAATCAATTTCTCAACGTAGAGTTAGATCAGTCAGACAAAAACTGTAGTGTCCAGTTCTGTGCCGGCTGGGGTGAGGTGAGAAAGAGCCAGTGCAGGGTTCTTTCTGGATCTTGGTCAGAATGACCCAACAACAAATGTCTTACTAAGAGAACTGCTTTAATGAGACAGACTCGTAAGAGGATTATAGATAGCGAGTAAATCTCATGTTGCATCAGATGCTGGGTACCCCGTGTTTGTGCCTCTCTCAGCTCAGGATTGCATTTACTCTACAGATGGTCTTGAGTTTGAGGGGAGCACTACTTGCCTGGAGAGTGTTATGTGATATGAATGTCATTAAATTATAAGAGCATTGTTAGTTTCTGCCCTGCTCATGCTGCTACAGCACGAATCTTCTGTCTCCTCCTCCCCTTCCCCATCTACTTTGTTTCCTTTTGGCCTTTCCTAAAACAAATCCAGAGTCTAGAAATGGATTTTTGAGACATACTAAGCTCTTCGAGTCCATCCTGACTTGACTTTGATCCTCAGGTAGTTTAGTGTTTATAAAAATTAGGCCTTAAATCTTTTCAGTACTTCACGAAATGCAAACACACTTCTTAAGTCAGG